CAGTGCTCCAAGATGTGAATGCAACATGCCGGCATGGAGTAGGGAACCAGTGGAGAGGTCTGAGAGGCTGGCCCCAATCCCAACTACGTGGACACTTGCCCCTCCCCCAAGAGGAATTTATTTCAGAGGACAGCACTGAATCTGCAACTCAGGGAGAGGGACATGTCTGATCAGAGCACATGGGAGCAAATGAAGGGGGAGGAAGAGAGAGTGGAGCACATCTGGCCCACCAAGCCTTGAGGACGATATTCCCGCTCAAAGCAGCCAATCCACAGAGATCATATGGCTGGCCCCACTAGGAGACACGATATTCCTCACTGACCCATTCATTGCCCTACAGGGGACAACACTGAAGACACAGCGTGGGAATTCCGCTTGATCTGAACCCACCACTGAAGCAAAGCACTAAGGGAATGCAACAGAACAGTAAGAACAGAACAACGAAGTCCCTAGGGAATACCAAAAATAGACTTTAGGGCCAGTGCTTGGCACCCCATCAGACTCGACCGGAAAACACTCCTAAAGGCCAACAAACGGTCTTTGAACTAACTACAAGCTTTGCTTTGTTGTTGTGTTTTGGTTTGTTTTTGTCATTGACTTTTTGTTGTTTTGTTGCTTGGTTTTACTCTGTCTTGTTTTTGTGCATGCTATTATCTCCGCAGGTCTGTCTAAATAAGATAGGCTGGATGAACATTCTGGAGGAGAAAACAACGGGACTGACAGTTCCAGGGGACATGGGAGCGGGGGAGGTGGGGGGAAAGGAAGTGGTGTTAGCAAACCCAGGGACAAGGGAACAACAAGTGATCCAAATCGGTGGTTAGGGTGTAGGAAGCCTGGTAGGGCATGATCAAGGGTAACATAACCTAAATGAAGGTTAAGCATGTTAGTGGGACAAGAGGAAAGTCAAAGGAAATAGAGGAAAGAGCTAGGAGACAAAGGGCATTTATAGAGGTCTGAAAAAAGGCATGTACATATGCAAATATATTTATAGATGAGGATCGGGAAATAGATCTATATGAATATATTTATAGTTTAGTATTAAGGTCGCAGATGGACATTGGGCCTCCACTCAAGTACTGCCTCAATGCAAGAATGCTTTGTGCTATTAAACTGGCATTCCGTGATGCTCACCTTCCTGACACGATCCCTAAAGACAAAGTAGTTGCATAAGCAAATGTGGTGAAGAAAGCT